TCACCAACACAAGGTGAGGATACCCGCCATCAGAGGAAATGGAGCATAAATGGCTACTCGCAGCAGCTCACAGGAGCGATACCAAAGAGGCGCTGCGTCTAAAGGGGAGAGTCGTAGCCGTGAAGGCGACTCGTATCCACGGCGACGACTCTTGACCTCTAGAAGCGGGGCATTTTCGGTATCTCTTCTGTTGGCTGCTGCGAGTAGCAGCCACCGGCCGTACGTTGAGGACTGGGCCGCGGGGAAACGTGGGGTCAATATTCACCAACACAAGGTGAGGATACCCGCCATCAGAGGAAATGGAGCATAAATGGCTACTCGCAGCAGCTCACAGGAGCGATACCGAAGAGGCGCTGCGTCTAAAGGGGAGAGTCGTAGCCGTGAAGGCGACTCGTATCCACGGCGACGACTCTTGACCTCTAGAAGCGGGGCATTTTCGGTATCCTTTCTGTTGGCTGCTGCGAGTAGCAGCCACCGGCCGGACGTTGAGGACTGGGCCGCGGGGAAACGTGGGGTCAATATTCACCAACACAAGGTGAGGATACCCGCCATCAGAGGAAACGGAGTATAAATCGATGGCTACTCGCAGCAGCTCACAGGAGCGATACCGAAGATGCGCTGCGTCTGAAGGGGAGAGTCGTAGCCGTGCGACTCGTGTCCACGGCGACGACTCTTGACCTCTAGAAGCGGGGCATTTTCGGTATCTCTTCTGTTGGCTGCTGCGAGTAACCATCGGTTTAGACTCCATTGCTCACCTTGGGGGGTATACAACAATCCCCACGCTTCCCCGCCTCCCAGTCCTTTGTACATTCGGGCCCACATCTACGCCTCAGGATTCGCTCCCGTTCTGCTGGTTCAGCTACTCCCAACTTGCTGGCGTGGTCCTTGTTTAACTGTCGCGTGTGTTGGAGAAACGCCCCGCCTCCTCTTGGCGGCCTGACGTCTTCTTTGCCCGCTGGAGCGACTCCTTGGTAGTAGCGTTTGTCCGCCACAACGTCGCTAGGCTACGTGACCCCTCGAACATGATCGCCAACCGAGCGACTCGCTCTCCCAGTGTCGAAGACATGAAACATGTGGAAGCAGTGCGAGCGTGCGGAGGATTCTCCTGCGTGGTCTACACCATCAATTAATACGGAGAAATCACATGTATGTGCGTGTTCGTCACATTTCATATGGCGCCATTCTACACACCCTTCGGCGCGTATATCTGACGTATTAGGCGGGGTCACACAAGAGCAACGTGCATAGGGCCTTTTTTCATTTCTAACTGTTTTATTTAGTGCCCCAGCTTTCGTCCTGCGGTGCACGCCTTGGTTTCTACCGCAAGAAACGTTCAGCCATACCTTTCCCTCGTCGACCGTATGTGTCACGACAAGAAGCAACAAAGACGGATACCAGATACCGCAAAGGGGGGGGGGTCGGTATGGACAAGGGTAACCCCTTCTGTACGTCATTCCGGTGGAGTAAGCGTAAATCGGGCCACCAAGTTGCGGACCATCGACCTTGCCGGCTGTTTCTTTCTGGTCTGCCCCCCCTCCTCCCGCCCCCCGCAAATCACGCGCATCTACACTTGGCCGCACTCACTAACCTACGGACAAGTGGGCTCGAGAGGCATTTCACGGACCGTCCGAAATCAACCGACTTTTACGCATGTATCACGTTCAAATCAAACCCCCCCTAGCCACGAAAACCAACTCTGCTCACCCGAGGCGCCGCTGGTGGCTTCAAGATCAGACACAGACGAAGGAGCCACAGTCGGGGAGTGAGTCTCTCCGGGGCCGAGAGGGGGCCTAGTGGTCACTGTCGGGGAGCTGGTCATGTCGATCTGAAAACATCAAAACAGCGGGCGAGAGGACATCCAGGGAGGGGAGGTAGGGGGGGGCTCAGGGAAATGCAGCATGGGAGGGGGGCACAACAAGTGCGGCAGCACTTCCATGTACACAAACAAAAGCTGCGAGGGACCGGCTTGCTTCGACGTTTGCGGAAAGCTGGCAGTACTTCTTCGGTTACGTGCTTGGAGAAGCAAATGCTACGGTGCACATGAACATATATGTTCACCAACGGGGGCCATGTTTGGTGCCGGTACACGTGTGCCAAGAAAATTGACCGGCACTATGAAAAAAGAAGAGGTCAGTACAGAGTGACTCGCTCGGCGATTTCCACTCTGTACCGATCGAATAAACCGGCACTATACCGGGCACCGGCACTGAAAAGGGCCCCCCACACCGATGTCTACTAATCTACATGCAAGACGGCGTAGCCATTGAACAACTATTTGTGGACTCTCTCGCCTGCCGTGAAGCGGCAGTAGGGCCGGCGGTAGGAGCGACAGACTCAAAGACCGTGGCCGACGGGGCGATGGTAGAAGCGTCAGACGCGCTAACGAAGGTGGCAGTCGGAGAAGATGACGCAACTACGGAGGCAGTCGGAGAAGATGACGCAACTACGGAGGCAGTCGGAGAAGATGACGCAACTACGGAGGCAGTCGGAGAAGATGACGCAACTACGGAGGCAGTCGGAGGAGACGACGCAACTACCGCAGCAGTCGGAGCGGATGATGGCGCAACGGACTGCAAAAAAGAAGAAAACCAAGACGCGTAGAGTACGTACGGGGTGTGGGGGCACCGAACAAAAGACAGAGGAGACAGTCCTCGTCATCAACAAACGACAAAGGAAGATGAAAGGCCATGCGTCATTTTCACCTTTACCTCAACAGATACTTTGATGCCTCTGCGAGTGTTGGTAATTTGCTCACTGAAACAACACGTCGCATGAAACGTTTTCGAACCACGCCTACCGTGATTTTACGGCGAGCGACACCACCGGAAAGCAACACGCACTCATGAGTCCAAAACAAACAAAATCTCTCGTTTTGTTGCAACTCGAAATAAAATAAAGCTTTTTTTTTTTCTCGCCTGCCGGGAAGCGACAGTCGGGGCAGACGAGGGCGAAACCGAAGTGAACGCCGCCGCACTCGGGGCAGCAAATGGCGCAACGGACCGCAGCGTCAACACGGGTCAGGGAGGTGGAGAGAGTGATAAGAGAAAGAATACCTCGTCAATAAATGAAAACAAAAGAAGCCAGGGGAGGAGAGTCTCCATCCCCAACAAAAACAAGGCATGGGGCGGGAGAGTGTCGGGGGGGGG